TCTTCTGATGTGTTACCTGCATTGCTCCTCCTGAGGTGTGAACAACTTCACTCTACCCTGACTCCAGACACCCCCTCCCCTTCATCTCCAACCTTTTGATCGTCACCAACTTCCCCTCCCTCTTTGCTTCCTCCCCTGAACCCTAGTATCTTTATAAACAATGTCACACCATGTATTCATCAGACTGGTGAAGGACTGATGACCAAGCTGTGCATGATTCTCTGCATGAATGTGAAATAAAACTCGGAATCTGAAGATCCAGTCTCCCGACTCTTCCTGCTGAATTTCTAACAGATCAGATTTGTATCTGTTTTAAATGCGTCTTGGGTGCATTTACACCTGCATTTTTATGTGTCTTGGCCTCATCCAGATATAATCCTGACACTCAATACGCATGAAGTGACCAGGTGTAAATGGGGGGCATCAGAATGGACCTATTTGCATTTATAATCACTCCAGCTGGTTTCCTAAAACGTTTAATCTGCAATGAGAAACTGTCCAACACTAAAAAGTGACTAAAAGTCAGCTTCTCATTCGCCAGCTTCTTGGGCAAATTTTCCCGTTCCACCTTAAATGGTGCCTGAGGTGCCAGAATGAAAGTTCTGCACCATTTAAGGTGGAAATTTTAGTCACTTTTTAGTGTTTTTCAGTTTCTCATTGCAGATTAAACGTATCAGGAAACCAGCTGGAGTGATTATAAATGCAAATCAGTCCATTAATCTACAAATTATCAATGTCCATCTTAAATCTCTCTCTTTGCCGATTCATTAGCTACTAGCTAGGCGAGACCGTCGTCTGCATTGCTATGGTGATCAGCAGTCTGCGCTGCTCTTCAGGGTTAAAGGGTGAATTAGCAGTTCTACATTAACTCCAGAGTTTAAGACCATTTAGTGTTAAACTGTGTTGAACGATCAGCAGAGCTTTATTTTACTGTAAAGGAGGATTATTTTATATTTACCTACTAATCTAATTCTGCTGTGGAGCCACAACAGGGCAGTAAAAGAGCTGCATGCAGCTCTAGAGCCGCATGTTGCCGAGCCCTGGTCTATCAAGAGCCCTCAGAGTGCTTCAGCAGTTGAATGTGCTTATCTCACCACAATGATACGTTTTGTCTCATGTTAGCCAAACAATTCAAATGAAACAAACAAACAAACAAATAAAAAAAATAAAATAAATAAAGACAGTATTATGCACAACATCAAAAATTTCAGCACCCACAACTTAAAACACCTTCCCGTGTCCCTGTGAGTGCTTTTGTATTTCACTTGAGTAAAAACATGTAAACTTTAACTGTCAGAGTCATTTTTGTACCAGAGTACTTTGCGCTTTTACTTGAGTACTGGATTTGTGCACTTGTACCATCTTTGGTCCTCAGATGGGTTTGATCTGCTGAAAAAGGACCACTAAAGCCTAATGCTAATGGTTTTGCTTTCTAATGGAAATCAGTCACCTGTCAAACCCTGTGGGGTGTTCAGGTCGGTGGAACCTGTTTTCAATGTTTACCAAAAAAAATGATGTAATTCATTATTATTTCACCCTCAGATTCTTGGTCTTTGCTCATTTTCTGTGAAGAACATATAAAATAACCCATTTTCAGTGCCTTCACTCTGTTCACCCCCCACACATTTATATTACACTTGGTGTTAGCTGAACCCGCGGGGAGTAAAAGTGTGGAGGTGCTGTGTCCTTCACTCTGTTCTCCTTCTTATATGGCCTGCTATTAGTGTGTGTGTGTCTGTGTGTGTGTGTGTGTGTGTGTGTGTGTGTGTGTGTGAGGGTGGACAACATGGACAGGCTGCTGACTGGCTACAACTGCTAAAGGAGAACCCTACGCTGGACACTTGTGATATTTTTTTAACATCTGGTATTTTTACATAAATTGTTATGGCTGTACTGATTTAAAAGCCAGTAATGTGGTGGGTCCACCAGGCCACTGAGTAACAAACACATCAACACCACACAAGGGTTAAACTATTGGTATCCTTTACATTCTAATAGCTTCTATGTTTTTTTTAGCAGGATCCTGGTTGATCAGTATTTAATCAAATGTCTGGCTTGCTGTTTTCAAACTTTGCTGGATGTTTGATGTAACAACCAGCATTTTACAGTATATTCAGTACTTTAAACAACGTGTATGTACGCAGCTCCACATGCAGGCCCCTGACCCCTGCGAGCTCTGCAAGTGCACGCTTGAAAGCACGAGGAGCTTTTTCACACTAGTGCGCATTTTTTGACGTTCTGTGACGTTTGTTTTGATTTTCAGAGACAGGGCGTTGGTGACTGTTAAGGGCGTAGCTGCCACATCAGGATGTCCTGGTTTCAGATGTGGCTGCCTTTCCTTTGCAGAGAGATGTTTTTTTGGTACCAAATAAACGAAAAAAAAAAACAACTCGAGCAGTTATCTTCTGATTGATGTTGTTTTTCTGTCTCTTCATGATACCTGAGAAAGAGGAAGCTGGCTGAAATTAAGAAAGGAAAGTCGCTTTTCGTGCTTCATCACACACGAAATGTAGGTCAAAGGCAGACTGAAGTTATTGTAAACAAACTAAATGCATATGTTTATTTATTTGTTAGTATGTTTATGATTATTGTACCCCTTAAATTGGGGGAAAGCAGTTCAATTCTGAGCATTAACTCATTTATGTGAGCGAAGCAGCACACAGGACAGTGTCAGTCATGGTTTTGTGAGAAAGCATGTGCTTCGCAGGGGAAACTCAGGCCTGAAGAAGTGTGTGGAAAAGAAGAGAAGACAATATGAGTGTCATGGTTTCAAGATCATTTGTTTCTCGCTCAGCTGGATGAGGTGAAGTGAGAAAATAAGGGAGGAGGCCCAGTGCCGGTCCCCGACAGTTCCTGTTTGCTGAGCGTCTTCTGCAAAATGTTGGGTAACGAAAATTTTTGCCAAGATTAAGCTGTTGTAAGACTGGTGGCATAATATTGGAGGAATTCAAAACATCTCTGCAATATCTCTGCGTCATATTGCAAGAGCATGTGTGTGCTGAAGTATACAGGGGGCACACTCAGCACGCTTAAAATGGGCTTTAGTTAGTAATGCAGTTTTCCTGCCTTTGTGCAAATCGCACTAAATTTAATGCGTTACTAAATTAGAAGTTTTGAAAAGCTGTGATTCATCACGAGTCGTCTGTTAACAGTCTCCAGACTTACTTTCAAAATGTTTTCAAAACGAATAAATTAAATACAAGAACCTAAAATACAATTACATTATTTGTTTACTTATTTATTTATTTACTTAATAATTTATTCATGTATTTATTTCGGTTTTTCACCTTGCACAGCTGGATTAAATGAACAAACGTAAACTCAGAAAACAATAAGAAAATATTTATTTACTGATTTATTAAATACATTTAATTTATTTGATTAATTAATTAATTAATTAATTAATAATTTAATTGTAACAACAATGGTGAACTGAGAGCTGTGACCATTAGAGTTAAGTCCATGCTCTTTTCTCATAGCACCCCTATGGCATTCTAGTAATTTGTTAGCACTAAGCTAACGGCAGTTTGCATAAACATTTGTGTCCATTCTGAATTGGACATTTAAAGTTTGCAAAAGTCATTCTGTATGTTTTATTTGAAGCTTGTAACTGACATAATGTATATTTCAGTTTCTAGGTATCAGTTTTACAGTGACTCTTTCAGTATAGAGTTCTGGCATAGAGCTGCTGCAGCTGTTTTCCATTCCTAACAACTACCTGGAACCTGCTTAGCCTTGTATTCACAGTCAGTGACATATCTAGAACCTCCAGAAGGACTAGAGTAATCTGTTTTCCTCACAAAACTGGTCCCATTGTAAATCAAAGTGTGATTGATTCCTCTGTCACTTCCTAATTATGTTGGAAGTTAATCCAACATGTAAGGCTTCTGCTCAGCTCCTGAAGGCCTAACCAATGGCAGAGCTCGCTTGGCTGTACCTACCTATATACCATAGAGAAAACAATCCTGATTGGACAACTTTTTTAATTTTAATAACATTTTGTTTAAAACCTTTCGCTTCCAGCCAAATGTACCAATCAGTACCAGTATTACTACAATACTTACAGTTTAACAACAAATATAACAACTCTATTATATAAAATTCACTAGGCCTCGAAGGATTGTGCTTGATGTATTTAAAGGGCCCATATCATGGATAACCAAATTTTCCTGCCTTTTTGAAATAAAAGAGTTTAATGTAGTATGTAGACACTGTTTAAATTTCAAAAACGTACCGTTCACTTGCCAGTCCATACAGTCCAGACAGGCAAACTAAGCTGCAAAACTAAGGCAAGAAAATGCGTGTTTTATTTTATAGCAGTTCAGCTCCGCCCATTTCCACTGAAGTTATAAGCAATGTTTCAGCCTGGACTGCTTTTCGAACAAGGGCAATCAGAACTGAGCTCATTTACACATATTAACCCCTTAAAATCCTAGGCTTGTTACATACTAAGGCTTATTATTCCAGTAACTACAGGGACTTCAGTGCAAACTGGCTGAGCTATTCTTAGGTCATAGAAGTGTGTGATAAACTTTGCGCCTGGCCAGCCAGCAGGCCCTGTACAGCTGGGGGGTTAATCTTAAAGACACAGTAACAAAGTGGCTCGTTTAGTTCCAAGTGATAAAAAGAAGTTTGTGTAAAAGTGAGTTTTAGTGCATAAAATCACACAAACATTATACGTGGAGCTCATTGGAAAAATGAAATACAAAAAAAGGCAGAATATGGGCCTTTTAAACTTTGCAAGTACTGTAGTCCATTGAGGGCCCTGAGGGTTCCCCACTGTTAGTTAGGCACTTATTTATTTATTTATTTATTTATTTGTTTATTTAGTTGGTTAGTTAGATATATTTAGATATTTGTGCTGTGGCGTGGGGTGACGTGGCATTAGCGGTGCGACACAGCCATGCAGGACATGACATGCACACATGTTCCTGGAACATGTCACAATTCAATATAAAAGAGTGTAGAAAGAGTGTAGAGTGTACTCTTAAAGCTGAACATATTTAGCTCAGCAGGCCTTTCTCCACTGGGTGTGTCAATATCTGCTGCAAGATACCGTAAGCTTCCTTCCTCGTCAGAGTTCTTATAGCTGAACACAACGCCTTTCACACACACAGGATGGATGGTAACACACACTCCAGCATCAGCAGCAAGAGGTACGTCAACCTGCCCTGCAAACCTGATCACAGGCTGCCACTGACACGCAATATTAGCCATGGCTTTGTTTTTATATGTAAATTTATATTTATATTTATCAATTGAAAATATTTTATGAATGCAGATTAAAATGAAGAATTATTATTATTTTTTTAATTATTAAAATGATCTTTTAAACAGTTTTGGGTTTTTTCTTCAACATTGTTTTAATTTATGCTTTTATTTGCATGCTATCTGTGACTTTTTGCATGCTATTCTAAAAGCAATCATTTTGAATAATATTAAAAGGTATTTTAGAGGTTAAAATCAAGATTTTAAAACATTTTAATAGCAAAAATGACCCTGATACATGCAATAGCTTGCAATTGCATTTTTAAGTAATTTTACATTTTAAGTATGATTCAATTTCGTATATTCAGTTTTTTATTTCTGCTCCGTTGAACAGGGCATTTAAAATGTGGCTTGTTCTGCAAATCACATGTAAGCCTTTTAAACGTGCTGATAGTAGTAAAGGAAGCCCCACCTATAACCACAGAGTAGTAGTGAAACTACACACATTTAAATGCGCTGCACCCGCCGCAGCAGCGCGGCACCAGACCAGCGCGGACACACAGCTGACTGATATTTTTAGGTAGTTTTTTTCTTCACTTTCAATAAAAAAAAATGTTATTCCTATATGCGGTTGAAAATCAAAATATAAAATATAAAAATTAAAATATTTAAATATAAAACTGTACGGACTTGCAGATCACAAGATATAAACGTATTCATATTATTATCTCTAGGTTAATTATTCAGTTAGTAATTTGAGACTTATTACTAGGACAATTATTATTTTTATTTATTATGAGTTATTTAGTGTTCACCATGAATTTTTCAGTATCTACTATGAATTATTCAGTAACTACTATAAATTTTTCAGTATCTACTATGAATTATTCAGTAACTACCATAAATTATTCAGTATCAACTATGAATTACTCAGTAACTACCATAAATTATTCAGTATCTACTATGAATTATTCAGTATCTACTATGAATTATTCAGTATCTACTGTAAATTTTCAGTATCTACTATGAATTATTCAGTAACTACTATACATTTTTCAGTATCTACTATGAATTACTCAGTAACTACCATAAATTATTCAGTATCTACTATGAATTATTCAGTATCTACTATGAATTATTTAGTAACTACCATAAATTATTCAGTATCAACTATGAATTATTCAGTATCTACTATTAACTATTCAGTAACTCCCATAAATTGTTCAGTATCTACCATGAATTATTCAGTATCTACTATGAATTATTTAGTAACTACCATAAATTATTCAGTATCAACTATGAATTATTCAGTATCTACTATGAATTATTTAGTAACTACCATAAATTATTCAGTATCAACTATGAATTATTCAGTATCTACTATTAACTATTCAGTAACTCCCATAAATTGTTCAGTATCTACCATGAATTATTCAGTATCTACTATAAATTTTTCAGTATCTACTATAAATTATTCAGTGACTACTATGAATTATTCAGTATCTACCATATATTACTCAGTATCTACTATGAATTATTCAGTAACTCCCATGAATTATTCAGTATCTACTATGAATTATTTAGTATCTACTATGAATTATTCAGTAACTCCCATGAATTATTCAGTATCTACTATAAATTATTCAGTATCTACTATAAATTATTCAGTATCTACTATGAATTATTCAGTAACTACCATAAATTATTCAGTATCTACCATAAATGAATCAGTGTCTGCTATAAATTATTCAATACGCTGTATATTCTTATATTTTTAATTTCCCTTGCAGTGAAGATCATATCAGATTACAGTGCAGCACTAATGAACACTTCTCTCATGTCAGGGTGCTCTGAGAGGGGCAGAATCTCCAGGAAACATTAGCAGGTTGGAGAGAGAGAGTTTGATTGCCTGAGCGACTCTGCGATCGAGTCCATTCAGTGAGATTCAAATTGCTCCTCCAGTCCACCATCGCCAAGTGACCAATGGATTTCCTGCACAGCCTCAGCTCCCCCGCATCCTGCCCATCCCTTTACAGCCGCAGCAACAACAGCATCATCGTGGAGCACTACAACTACACGGGCAGGCTCCAGTACCGAAAACCGGACAAGAGTGGGGTCGGCGTGCTGTCGGCCATCTTCCTGTGCTTCAGCATCTTCATCATCCTGGAGAACCTGCTGGTGCTGCTGGCCGTGCTTTTCCACGTGCGCCAACGCCAGCGTTGGGTTTTCATCTGCATTGCTAACATCGCGCTTAGCGACTTGCTAACCGGAGCCACATATGTGGTCAACATTTGCTTGTCTGGTGGTCAGACCTTCAAGCTGAGCCCACTTCTTTGGCTCTTGAGGGAGGGGCTTCTCTTTGTAGCTCTGGCAGCCTCCATCTTTAGCCTTTTGCTAATCGCTGTGGAGCGCTACGGCACCATGATGAAGCCAGTCCACCAAAAGTCAGCTAAGAAGACTTACCGCGTCTACCTGATGGTGGCGCTGTGCTGGCTAATGGCCTTCGCTATCGGCTTCCTGCCTCTTCTGGGCTGGAACTGCGTGTGCGACCTACGCAGCTGCTCCACGCTCCTGCCGCTCTACTCTAAAAGCTACATCCTGTTCGCTTTGGTCATTTTCTTTATCATTCTCTTGACCATCGGCGCGCTCTATTTCGCCATCTACTGGCACGTCCGAAGCAGCACAGACGCAAGCTCGTTCCGAAACCGGAAGCGCTCTCTCCGGCTCCTCAAAGCGGTCATATCCATCGTGGGAATCTTCATCGTGTGCTGGGGGCCCCTGTTCATCCTTCTCTTGGTGGACTACTACTGCTATTCCCGCCGCTGCAGCGCCCTCTTCAGCCCACAGTGGGTAATAGCCCTAGCCGTGCTCAACTCAGCCATGAACCCCCTCATCTATTCCTTCGGCAGCCTGGAGCTGCGCAAGGCCATCGCCAGCCTGCTGTGCTGCTGCTGCTTGAAGGTGGGCATTCTCAACCCCAAGAGCTTCATGTCCAAAGAGACTTCCAGCACGTCGGGCAGTCGGCACAGCAGCCTCCGAAACAGCTTCAGCAAAGTGAGGAATCTGAGCACGAGTCCGCAGCCTCAGCCCAAGAATGGCAGGAAACCCAGACTGAGCTCCACCACGTCCTGCCTGTCTGCGTCGAGCGGTTAGACCACACAGGGGAAGGTGTGGGCCTTCACTGCCACAGGACGCAGCACCGTTCCACCCCAACGGACACGCACACGCCGCACACACACACACATACACACACACACACACACACATTATATATATATTTTTATATATATATAGTTTTAGACTTATTTCTTGACTTCCTAACAATTTTGCACAGTACTGTTTATATATACACAAACATATATATATATATGTATATACAAACACACACACGCACATATATATTAATGCACTTGTTAGCTTCAGCTCAGGGTTTGTGTTTCCTTCTCAGCAGTTGTGAAATCCATTGTATATACAAACAGAGTGTGTGTGTGTGTGTGTGTGTGTGTGTGTGTGTGTGTGTGTGTGTGTGTGCGTGTGTGTGTGTGTGGTTGATGAGCCACGATAAAAGAAAAGGCGGTTTCTGTACACGGATCTGATACTGAAAGACTGCAGAGGCGTGTAAAACCTCTAACAGTCAGGAAGCCTTTTAATGTCGTGTTTTTATTGTGGTTTTAACCGTGATTTGTGATACTGCTATAGATGTTGTGTACAATTCATATATGTACAGTAAACATCATTTAATGCCAACGTTTATATCACTTATTTTAACTAGAGAAAGGCTTATGAGATATATGCACAAGTTAAGGTTTGACGGAGACGATGAAGATGTTGATGTAACTGAGAGCTGGATTCTGTTTAAATACTGTAAATGATGTGCAATGTCAGAATGTTGTATAATGTCTACTTCTATATCTGAAATAAAGAGAACTATTTTGTTTGAACTTTGAGTGAAGAGGAATTTATTGCTTGTACATGATGTCTTATCTGACTGTCATTAATGCCAAGACAGTATCTGGTATAAATGCTCCATCCTTCACCATCAGGGACCACAAGAGGGAGACCTTCGTGAAGACTTTTATACACAACCACAGATTTCTATGTGATTTTAATAATAATAATAATAATTAAATAATAATTACACATACATTCACTGATGATATTTAGCTCCAGTAAGTCATAGAAGAGAAGAAATAGAAGTAAACTCGCATTTACCTGACATTCATTCCACTTAATATAGGTTAGTCTAACAAGTCTGAGTCCCTTACTTTAAGGACAGATGGAGCAGAAATGCTTCCTTAAAATAGAACAGATATGGTCTATTTCACTCATACAAACATTCCCAATATTCCCACATGGCCTTTCGGTAAACCCTTAAAAATGTTCCTCAAAGGGTTCTTTAGTAAAGACAGTGGTTATATAGAGAACTGTGGCATCCATAATACATGTCAGAATGTTTAAATGGTTCTTCACTATAACGGAAAACCTGTATATGATTCTTTAGAGGACCTTTCAGAAAATTGGCTCTATATAGCAACATGTAAATGTGTTAGCAAAGATAAAGAAAATTACTGTCACTGTAAAAACAAAATGCATTGAATTAACCCTTGTGTGGGGTTGGGGTCTCGGGACCCATTTTCCAAAAGAAAAATAATGCAATTTATTATTATTTCAACCTCAAACTTCTTGGCCTTGGCTCATTTTCTGTGAATAACATATAAACGAATACATTTTCATTGACTTCACACTGAACACACCCCCTACGCAATATATTACACATGTGGTGTTGGTGAAGGTGCTATGTCCCTTCACTCTGTCCACCTCCTATATGGCCTGCTGGTGAGACCCTAAAATCCAGAGAAGACAACACATCCCAAGAAGCCCAGCTTCAGCCAGAGCAGGATTCAGGAGGAGGAGGTTGGTGTCCCTTCAGTCCACAGACCCACTTGCTTGTTATTGTGATAAAGTAAACACCTGATATTTTCACATAAATGGTTATGGCTGTGTTGATTTAAAAACCTAATAACGCAGTGGGTCCACCAGACCCACAAACATTGGCTGAATAACAAAAACATGAACACCACACAGGAGTTAACTTGATTCAAATGTTTTGATCAATTCCACATGGATAAACTACACTGTCACTGTTGAGACGGAATGTTTTTGTTTTTTACATAATTTCCAAAAAACAGCTGAACTTTTACACTGTGTTAACAGAGACTTATATTGAAATAATGACTTACTTTCCCAAAATAATGACTTATTGTCCCCCAAACAATTACATTCTTCAAATTCAATAACTAACTTCACCACAGTCTCTTAACAGTAATCCAAAAAATTGGATAGAATAAATCATTATTTTGGAATACTAAGTCAATATTTTGAGATGATAAATCATTATTCCAGCATACAATGTCAATCATTTGAGAAGGTTAGTCTTTATTTTGCAACAATAAGTCAGTAGTTTCTCACTAGTGAGAAAATAAGTAATGACTTCAAGATATTAAGTCTATATATGGGGATAACAATAATTATTCCAAAAAAGGTCATTTTTAAAATTAGATAATGTCATTATTTTGAGATACTAAGTAAATATTAAAAGAGGTTAAGTCATTATGTTTAAATTTTAAGTTAATATTTATAGGTAATAAATCATTATTTTAGGATACTAAGTCAATATTTAAAGATATTGAGTCATTATTTTGAAATTTTAAGACCATATTTATAGATAATAAGTTATTGTTTTGAGATACTAGATTAATATTTAGAGATTTTAAGTCATTATTGTGAGATACTAAGCCAATATTTAGAGATATTAAGTCATTAGATACCAATTCAATATTTAAAGATAATAAGTCATTATTTTGAAATGATAATTTAATATTTATAGATAAAAAGTCATTATTTTGAGATATTGAGTCATTATTTGGACATAAAGTTCAAAATTTTAGATAATGTCATTATTTTAAGATACTAAATCAATATTTAGAGAAATTAAGTCATTATTTTGAAATATTAAGTTAATATTTATAGATAATAAGTCATTGTTTTGAGATACTAAGTCAATATTTAGAGATATTAAGTCATTATTTTGAGATATTAGGTCAATATTTAGAGATATTCAGTCATTATTTTGAGATATTAGGTCAATATTTAGAGATATTGAGTCATTATTTTGATATAAAGTTCATAATTTTAGATAATAAGTCATTATTTTGAAATACTATGTCAATATCTTGACAAACTGCTCCCAGGAGGAAGAAAAAAACAGGTGATTTTTCTCCTCTATCTGGCAGCAATGAGCCTCTGCAATTTTGCTCTGACAGCGACGATATATTGATGGAATATATTTTAATGTATTTTATGTGGAAATGAGTTACACATTTGAATCAAGTACAGTCAATGTATCACTTTTTTCAGTCTATGTTTTGGTGTGTAAGACCCAGATTAACATTCCTTCATCCTCACGTTTCCCTCGCTGTAATCCTCCACTCGTCTCCTGCAGTCTCTCTGCTGTCTGCTCTGTAAGGAATCCCAGCATGGCTGCTTGATAAGACCTTTAACTTCACCTGTTCGCAGCAGACGTAACATTTACAGCAGAATAACTCTGAGGAGGGTTTATCATCCGTTAGCTGCCAACATCCTTCATTCTGTATCACACGTCAGGCTGGACTGAGGCATCATTAGGCACAGAGAGCAGTGCAGGCGGCAGATGTTTGAGATCGAGCATCAGCTGCCATAAATCTGCACAAATGCAGCATAACAGCCCAGCACAGACTGACGGCTGGCAGTGACAGACGAGCTACACCTCCATCCATCTTCCCGGAGAGCTACTCTATACAGAAATCTGAAATATGGCCATATATGCTCTCTGCCATAACTGACCTCATGTGGCAGAAATGGTCACTTTACAGCGGAAGGAGAAACCTCATACGCTGCTGTAATGACATTTTATTATAAGCAGTTTGGGCTGTTTCTGTTGGTCTATTCATCATAAAGTGCCCACAGCTAGTGTTTTTAAATGGCAATAAATAAATAAATAAATAAGGAGTTATGCCATATTTTCATTTGTTCCTCATAGAGGATGTATTAACATTTTATTTCATTTTTATTTTTATTTTATTTTATTTAGCTGATTAAAATCTTAATTCTATTACTGTTTTAATTAATTAATTTATTTATTCATTATTATTGCCTTTTATAATCCTGTTACTTGAGTGTTTCAAAGTTTAGTTCGCCTTATTTATCCCTTTATGTAATTTTTTAAATTGGCTTATTAATTAATTCTTAATTGTTCTCTCAATTTTTCCCCCATTTATCTTGATGATTTTGTTTGCTTTTACTGTTTTTCCATGTTCATTTTAGTTTAACCTGATTAAATTCCATTTTAATGTGTTTTAAATCCCTTTACACTGTAAATGTGGCTATATTGAAAATTATACACAAAAAATTATATATATATAGAAGTGTATATATATAGAGGTATAAACAGTGACACTGTGCAAATACCTGCTTGAGGTATACATGCCCAATGGTTACATTAATAATTACATATAAAAAATTATATACATATATATATATATATATATATATATATATATATATACACACACACACACACACACACACACATATATATATATATATAAGTCTAAACAGTAACATTGTGCAAAAACCTGCTTGAGGTATACATGTCCTTTACTTTGGGTAACACTTTATTTGGATGGTCCACTTCAGATGCTTTGTAGATACTTAATTTACTTTCAAGATACATTCAACTAAATATCTACTAAACTGACTATAATTGTCTTTAAGTCTAAACCTGATCTAATTCTAACCCTAACTTTAACCTCAACCCTAAACCTAAACCCAACCCTCACCCTGCTCCTGACCCCTAACCCTGGTCCGAATCCTAACCCTAACCCCACCACTGTTTAGAATCAACTGAGTGTCAACAGAAAGTTTGTTAACAATTTGAACATCTATAGGTCCTCTATAGGGGACTATAGAGGACTATACAAATAAAGTGAGACCTTATTTTGTTTTTATTTACTGATTTAGGTTTACATTCTATGCAACACTATCGGACCAAATATACAAATACAAATTATCTTTCAATTTTATCGAAACGAAAATGCAAATTCCTCTTGAAAGATTCCAAATAACTGTATACTGTTAAAAAGAGTTACACAGCTGACAGAAAGCTACACATTTCAATGTAAAGAGATACACTGAATAGGCCTCTTTTGAATGTGCACATCTTTCTAGATGTAAATATACAAGTGTTGCCCAAATATCACTATTATTGCGTAAGACAGTGATGTACACATTTAAGTCTAGTAAATTCTATGGAGTAAACTTTTCAATATACATATATTTCTGTATAGACGAGCATATACTGACAACCAAACACTCTCTTATTCAGTGAGACAAAACAGATTAATTTGGCTGAGGGTGGTGTTGCTGCTGTAAATCTAGTCATTCACACACTCACTATGACCGAAGGGTGATTCCTCAGGGTTATCCCCAAACCCCCTGAGCCCTATCAGCACAGCATTTGAAATTGTGGTTTGTGTGCTCTGGGACTTTCCAGTGTGTATTGGACTGTGTCATAGCTCAGCATATTGACCAAAAAAGTGGATAAACCTCTCACTGAGTGACCAGACCAAAGGCCATTCCCAGCTCACAACAGAAAGAAATGACCACAGACACATTAGACTGCTTTTACAAGCCTTTGTGATCAGTTATACAGATAAAGCTCAGGAATGTCTAAGAACACCTTGAGGTTTCAGAATGTACTGAGAGGGAAAGCCCCCACTGTCATGTGAAATGACCCCTGATAGTTACTTTCACACTGGTTAGTCAGTAATTCCATTGCAGATGGTTTATTGAAGGCTGGAGTATTAATATTCTGCATAATTTGGTGGAATTTGCTAATAGTGAT